TTCTGGCCCTTTAAATACAGTTCCTCATGTTGTGACCCAACCATAAAATTATTTTCGTTGCTACTCATAACTGTAATTTTGCTACTGTTAATGAATCGTAATGTAAATATCTGATATGCAGGATGGTCTTAGGCGACCCCTGTGAAAGGGTCGTTCGACTGCCAAAGGGGTCGGCGACCCACAGGTTGAGAACCGCTGGGTTAGGGGGAGGAGAAGGCCATCAGAGGAGGTGCCACCTATTGGTCTCTTTCTGGGCCACAGGAAGGCATTGTTGCCAGGCCATGGGGGTGGGGGTGGGGATGATGAGCCTCTGCCATTGGGGCTGGAGAGTCTTCACCTGAGAATTTCTTGGGTCTGGTTAGATGTGAATCACAGTGGAATAGTCTTAAAAAGGCAAGCAGCCTCCTCAGCAGCAGCCCTGAGCACCAAGGATGGCCAGCCTCTCATCCTCTGGAAACAGGAGTGGGCCATTGGGGGAGGAGAGGTTGTGCCCTTTCATTCCCTGCCAATAAACTGGTCTCAAGAGATCACTAAAATTATAGTGGATTAAAAAATCTGGACAGGTGTCACTTAAAGATACCAGCACCAATGAAACGATAATTAGCAAGCTGAAGGTTGTTAAGTAGTAGTGTGCCCTTTACAGACTGAGGATGTCATCTACTTGGTGTACAGAAATAGAGAGTTGGAACACACTATTGCATACCTCTGTGAATCTTTGCATGAAAATTAAGGTATAATGCAAGAGTCTTTTGAAGCTGATAAAGAAAATGTATTCCACATGACCAAAGATACCTCAGTTCCAAGTTCCTGCCATTTTCGCCTACCATTTAGGCAGGCTTCGAGAAACCACAGCCGTTGACACTGATTGTCAGACCTCTTCAACGCAGCCTCTACTTCTTTCACAGAGTCTCCTTCTGTAGGGAGAGAGAGCATCCTTTCAGTTCCAGATTCTGGGGTGCAGGCATCCCTTCTGAAAGGATGTATTCCCGTTGTAGCAAGTGAAATGATACCTTCAGCTTTGCTTCACTTCTCGAAGACAGGGACGGAACATCATTTTCTTTGTTTGAACCCTAGGATCAAGAGACTTTGAGCCCATTAAAAAGAAAATGAAAGCCATAGCTGGTTTGACTCAGTGGAGAGAGCATTGGACTGTGGACTGGAAGGTTCTGGGTTCGATTCCGGGCAAGGGCACTGTTGTAACGTACCCCATGAAACACAGAAGGACGCCTCAAGAAGTCGAATTAAAGAGTCACATTTATTGCAATCCGGGACAATGAGGGGTTATTTCCCAAATCTCATAGTAACAAGATGGTCGCAGCTCCAGGGTTATATAGGCAAAAAATCACAAAGGTATTGATTA